CTATTTAGTGATTATTTGGTCAATATTTTGGGCTATGAGACAGGAAAAATGGAAAATTAAAGGAGGGCGGGAAGGCCCTTTTAGCAATATGCAGGAACACATTTTCTGTGGGATGATGTCTAAAAGTTGGTCTTGTGAGAACTTAAAATCAAAATATAAAAGAGAACAATTCATTTCTCATTCTCATTTCTTTTATAGCAATCCTTGAAAAAGGCTACCAGAACTTGGAAATGTTACTTTTTTGGACTGTTGCTTTGCTAGATTTAGGGGTTATGGGCTCTTCAAAGTTCTAGATCATTGAGTGCAACCAGACACAATTTCCGCAGAGACCTAACTAAGGTCCATGATGTTGCTTTGTAGATGCTATAATTCCCTCACTTTTTTTTTATTCCAGAAGACTTTGTTTTCAATGTCACTGCCTTTGACAAGGATCAAGAAGGCACTGCAAATTCTCAAGTGACGTATTCCCTGGTTTCACAGACACCTCGTCTGAAACAGCCAGTCTTTACTATTGATTCTTCCACTGGTGTAATACATAGCACAGGGTGCTTGGATTATGAGGTAAATTACTATTAAGTAAAGACTGTGTTGATAGTCTGCATGAGATGTGTGTTTTATCACATGTACTTTCTTGTAAAACTACTTTGCCATCAAGCTCTTGTAGTATCTGTCTCTAGGCATGTCCTCTGCATAAGAGGTGAGGAACTTCTTTCAACCCAAAGGTCAAATTTATTTTTAGAAGACTGGATGGAGCCAAAGGCAAAAAAGTGAAAACAAACATACCAGCATATTTAGTTTAAAGCTCTTACTGACTTGGTCTTAGGAGTTACTGACTTCAACCTGTTAGAAAGGGGGAAAACATCCAAGCTAGGAAACTGCCGAATGATGGTAGCATATGAAGAAGGTTGAGACCATCTGGGGGAGCTGCTGCTGCTGTTGTCACAGAATGCACTTCAAAATGAATAAAAAGTAGTAATATTTTATATTTTAACATATTTCAGACTGCTGGAGCTTTCCAACTTCTGATCAGGGCTGCAGATCAAGGAAATCCACAACTTTCATCAACAGCAACAATTAATATTGCTGTGGAGGATGGCAACAATAACCTGCCTGTATTTACTCAGGAAAAGGTAGGATTGTAACCCTCGAGGGCTAACTTTGATAGAGAGTTTACTGGGTATTTCAGTTATGAATTGGAAAGATTTGTCCAATGAGGGCCTCTTTGAAAAATAATTGCTTTCCATTGTCTTAAGCAATCTTAAGACAAAATAAAAGAAGAGGATTGTGTAGGGCAAGGGTGTTGTTGTTCATTCGTTCAGTCATCTCCGACTCTTCGTGACCTCATGGACCAGCCCACGCCAGAGCTCCCTGTCGGCCGTCACCACCCCCAGCTCCTTCAAGGTCAGTCCAGTCACTTCAAGGATGCCATCCATCCATCTTGCCCTTGGTTGGCCCCTCTTCCTTTTGCCTTCCACTTTCCCCAGCATAATTGTCTTCTCTAGGCTTTGCTGTCTCCTCATGATGTGGCCAAAGTACTTCAACTTTGTCTCTAGTATCCTTCCCTCCAGTGAGCAGTCGGGCTTTATTTCCTGGAGGATGGACTGGTTGGATTTTCTCGCAGTCCAAGGCACTCTCAGAACTTTCCTCCAACACCACAGCTCAAAAGCATCGATCTTCCGTCGCTCAGCATTCCCTATGGTCCAGCTCTCACATCTGTAGGTTACTACAGGGAATACCATGGCTTTGACTATGTGGATCTTTGTTGCCAGTCTGATGTCTCTACTCTTTACTATTTTATCGAGACTGGAAATTGCTCTCCTCCCAAGAAGGGTGGTAACCTCTTTTATCCCAAGGGCTGAAGTGTTCTTGGAATACCCAGGTTGAAATAAAAACAGGTAGCCCCCCAAGTATTTAATTGTTTCCTACATATCTTCACTCATGACTCAGGTGAGTTGTAATTGCAGTAGGATAACAGCAGGACTTAGTACATGTGTTCTCCCAGTGGGAGACCATTGGAAGGTGTTTGTTTTTACAAAGGCAGGTCATTGATGGATATTTGTGTCGATAAAAGAACTACTTTCCAGGCTGTCTCTTACTAAGAGAGCGGCATGAGAGGAGTGACATCACATCCCAGCCAAAGACATTGCTGTCCTGCTGTCATTGTGATTTGCCTGCCTCATGTGATAAGCCCTTTTGCTTTGTGAGAAGCATTCAACCCTTTAAAATGTGATGGGTGAAACAATGTCAAATGCTTAGCAAAACACCAAACAAATGGTATAATGGTTTCCCTTGTAGCAATGCCCATTCCCCCCAGGGCGCCTAACCATTTGAAATTAATGTCTTCATTATGCAGCTGTGTGATAGATGGCAGAATAAAATGCTTCCAAATTATATTTGATGTATAAAGATGTTTTCCCCTTCCTTTTAAGTATCAACTGGATGTCCTAGAAGGCAAAAAGGAGCGTGACATCCTTCGTCTCAGTGTGGAAGACAAAGATGCTGCCAACACACCAGCTGGGAGAGCAAAGTATAAGATAGTGAATGGAAATGAAAGAGAGAACTTCGTCATTGAAACAGACCCAAATAGCAATGAAGGGATACTAAGCATTGTAAAGGTAAAGATTTAAAACAATCATTCTATAGCAGGACTGGGAAATGTGTCCTCCCAGATGTTGTTGGATTCTAGTTTTTCTTTTTAGCTCTAGCCCATTTAATGAGGGATGATGAGAGTTGTCCCACATTCTTTGCCCCCTATTCTGGGGATCAGAACATATTGAAATATGTCTATTATCATCCCCAGTTGGTAGGATCCTTCAGCGTTGTTGGCTGGGGATTGAGAGCCAAAATATCTGAAGATAAATGTTGCTATAGATGAGAGGTGGGCAAAGTGTGGCCTTTGGTCCAAATTCATTACCAAGCATTTGATAATGCATCTGAGTCTAAAATATAGTTTTTACAATTCTTCCCATTCTGCCCTCTCCCCTCCACCTACAAATACCCCCCAAACAATATTTAGGACTGGGAAGGGCATTTCCACCATTAATGGAAATTACCTGGGCCACCAGAGATCAAATTTTTGTTGTAATATTTTTCAAAAGCTCTAAATGACTTAATAAGCTTTAAGATTCCCTTGTACTAAGTTGTGCCCAGGAGAGCATAACAGAAAGTGATCAGAAAAAAATCATATGGCTAAAAAGGCTTCTCATGCACTTAAAATGGTCTAGGAACCCCACAAATCTGGTGACAATTCCTCATCTCTATTAAAGAGTATTGGGAGATATTTGGGGACAAAACCAAAACACTGCAGCCCCATAGCCTTCCACAGCTGCTCAACCTTGCTATGCATAGTCAGCATTTACTTGTGGAAGACTTTGCTGTAATTTTTCTATTTTTTCCCCACACAGCCTTTGGTCCATGATGGTACTTCTGAGAGGAAGCTTGTAATTTCAGTGGAGAATGAGGAACCCCCCTTCCTTTGTGAAAACGGTTTGGTGAGGACTGTTCCTTCTCCAGTGTACTCACAAACATCTGTGGACATCAATATAATTGACAGAAATGATGCCCCACAGTTTAATCCTTCCATCCTTGTTCTTCGACAAGAAGAAGGAGTCATGCCTGGAACTAAGATTGGGCAATACAAAGCAAAAGATCCAGATGCAGCACCCCACAGCATAAAGTAGGCATTAATGTTCCTTGTTACTTTCTTGATATATACTGGGTTGTCTGAAGAAGTCTGTCTGTACATGCTGGTATGGAATCTAACCATACACAGAATCCATTAGTTAGGGGATCTTATCATACCATGTGGATGGCACCTATAATGACATACAGAGGCCTAAGTCAAAACGTCTTCCTGCATGTGTCCTTTTTTAGTTGATGTGAAGGATGGTATTCTTTTTCTCTCCACTCATCAAAGGTTCCTGCATTGCACCTCTACCCTACATGGCCATTTTGTGACTGGTAGAGAATAGAAAAAAGATTGGAGAAGCATCTCAGTAACATATACTTTCACCCCTGCATACAGACAACAACATAAAACACACACCAAGAGGAGGTCATTAGCAACCTCCAGATGGAACAAACACGAAAACTTCCTGTCTCATGCACAAGCTGTGGCATGTTCAGCTTTTTCACACTACAATTACTCAATTACATCTGCCCCAAGTGTAAACAGATCACTCGCATGGAACACAGGATCCGACAACTCGAGGACCGTATTAAGACCCTTAAGGACATTCAGGAACTTGAGCTGTTCTTAGACACCACAGACCACACTGTCCTTGACACGCAGCCCATATCACACCAACATTACGGGGAGGCTCAAGAGAACAGCACCTCAGATGTGGACAACCCTCAGGCTTGGAGAAATGTCACCCTTAGAAGGACACATAGGACCCGGAAGCCTCCTCAGAATACTTCCGCTCAGCTGCAGTTACACAATAGATTCCAAATTCTCACACAACTAGCACCTGACCAAGAAACACAACATATTGGGGAAGACCAGAATGGCTTAGATACTGATCAGTGGCTCATCCTTGATCAGTGTGCAGGGGATAGCCCTGACTGGGACAACATTTCACAACATCCACACTTGCACAGTCGTGCAGGTGTACCATCCCCAACCATAGACCAGGTGCAACAGGAACACATACAGGAGAACCATAGGCTNCTGCGCTCCGCTCCTGTTAGTATCATGGCTGCCGAGCGTTGGACTAGCTGGAGCTTCCGAGCCGTCTTCAAATAAATAAATAAATAAATAAATAAATAAATAAATAACCTATACTGTTCAGGTGGTATGGGTACAACTATCATATTTTGGTACATATCAAGGAATGTCAAAGCATGACCTGTAGACATATGGATTTTTCTTCCAGACACCAGATTAGCAAAGTGATATGATGTGAGAACTGGAACATCAATAATTATTAGTCATAGATTAATTATCCATATTTAATTTTAAAATATGCTAATAAATGCCAATTGCTGGAGGGCAACGGTTAACCTCTATTGCCCTTACAACATAGTTTGGGAACTCTAAGAATCTAGGAGTGAAATAAAATTGTTGTACTTAGTTTGTATCTATAAGCATCGTTTACTTTGAGTTTTGATTTAGTGTGGTTCTTGTATAGTTTTGCCCTACACCACAGAATCTTATACAAAACACAGAATTCAGCAATGGTCTATTAGCTATTTTCAGGGAAATTCATTTGCATGCTTTATCCACAGTTTAGAAACATTTTTGGAAAATCCCCAATATGTTCAAGGAAAGAGGAATAGACATAGCATTAGCTATTTCTATTACATTTACCAATGCAATGCAGGATTTTAGCTACCATTTTTGGGAAAGGTTGATTGCCTGGAAGAAGCTAGCCTTTGTATAAGATGGATTGCAGGTGTTTTTTATTATTATTCATTCAGTCGCTTCTGACTCTTTGTGACCTCATGGACCAGAGCTCCTTGTCGGCTGTGGCCACCCCCAGCTCCTTCAAGGTCAAGCAGTCACTTCAAAGATACCATCCATCTATCTCGTCCTTGGTCTGCCCCTCTTCCTTTTTCCTTCCATTTTTTTCCCAGCATCATTATCTTCTCCACATCTGGGGCTAGTTGAACTTACCCTCTGTTCCTCCCCAGTAGCATTTTGACCATCTTTCCAACCTGGGAGTGTTGGGGTTCAGCCACCTCCGTGTGAAACTGAGCCTCAATCTCTGTGTGAACCTGATTCTCTGAGTGTATTTCCTGATGCAACTGAGCAAGCCACTGAACATGTATCTTTCCCTGATAGTGTTGAAACCCTTGATGCTGAAGTCAGTGGCGGGGAAAGTGAAACTGAACAGCCTGATGAGAATGTTTTGGAATCAGGCCGTGATAGCTCTCCAGAGGGAATCACACCTGGGTTTTTTAATGAGGACCGAAGGGAACAGATTTGGAAAAACAGGAGTGAATCACGGTTTCTACGAAGGTCAAATGGATTACGGGAGAGGGAGGCTTCAAAGTCTGGAGGCGTTTCAAGAAATAGTTTCTTTGGTTTAAGGGGCCTCCCCCCGGTTGTCTCATTAGATCAAGCAACGTTTTAGACTGAGGCAGCACCTTGGCAGTTTTCCTGCGTTCCATGGCCTGCATTCCCAGAGGCTTCTAGTTTTCAAGTATGGTTAGTGATGCTAACAGGTTCCTGGTGTCTGTATTGTTGTTTTTGGAATTTTGCTCAAGTTCAAAGATTTTTCCTGACTGCTGAGTTTCTACTGTGGCTTTTTGACTTTGCATTTACTTTTCTTTTGTAACCATTTTTCATCAATAAAAAAGGATTGTTTTTCTCACAGTCCAGTGTGGTGGATTGAATCTTATGGTCTCGTTTCCTGATCTGGGATGCAACAGGGAGTCCCATCTTCCAATGGTATATTGACATATCTCTGGTTGTACAGACCCATTTAGTTTTCATGGCAAGAATACTGGGGTGGATTGCCATTACCTTCTTCAGGGATCGTATTTGGTCTGATCTCTCTGCCATGACCTTTCTGTCTTTGGTATCCCTTCACAGTTTCACTCATGGCATCATCGAGGTGCTCAAGCTCCAGCACCACGACAAGGCAACGATTCTTTGCAGGAGATTGCAGGTATAACTCAACATAAAGTACTTGTTGGAGTTCAGCCTGTGATTGTGTTTCAGGATCAGGGTGCTTTGGATATAGGGAATGGTGTTAATGAGGTTCAAGATGAGTTTCAAGATAGCAGTGATATTGATGCAGAGAATGACCAGGAGATCCCATGTTTCCCATGATAATGTCCATGAGGGGTGTGGGGATGCACCTGCAGAAATTAATGAGCAAATAGATGACAAGCCAAGAGAGAAAATAGATAATGAGCCAAGAGATAGATGAGAAGAGATCAGTCAAGAGATAGATGAGAAGAGATTGGGGTTGGAGGACATCCAACCCCAAATTGGGAAAGAAGTCGTCCAGGAATACCTGGCCGCTCTTAATGAGTTCAAGTCCCCAGGGCCAGATCAACTACACCCCAGAGTATTGAAGGAACTAGCGGAAGTCATTTCGGAACCATTGGCAACCATCTTTGAGAGTTCTTGGAGAACGGGAGAAGTTCCAGCAGATTGGAGGAGGGCCAATGTGGTCCCAATCTTCAAGAAGGGAAAAAAGGATGACCCAAACAACTACCGTCCGGTCAGCCTCACGTCTATATCGGGCAAGATTCTGGAAAAGATTGTTAAGGAAATGGTCTGCAAACACTTAGAAACAAATGCGGTCATTGCTAATAGTCAACATGGATTTATGAAAAACAAGTCATGCCAGACTCATCTGATCTCTTTTTCGATAGAGTTACAAGCTGGGTAGGTGCGGGAAATGACGTGGATGGAGCATACCTGGATTTCAGTAAGGCCTTCGACAAGGTCCTCCATGACCTTCTGGCAAGGAAACAAGTCCAATGTGGGCTAGGCAAAACTATGGTGAGGTGGATCTGTAATTGGTTAAATGGACGAACCCAGAGGGT